ACAGTCCCCTTAACCTCCTCCTTTGTCCCCTTTGCACTCCCGCTATACTCGCTCGCCGTGCCCTTCGCGCTTCCCGTCATCTCCTGCGCCTTCCCCGCGGCCTCTCCAGCATACTCCTGCGCAGTCCCCGCTGCCTTTCCAGCATACTGCTTCGCGGTTCCCGCAGCCTTGCCAGCATACTCCTGCGCAGTTCCAGCAGCGTCACCTCCAACCTCCTTCGCCTTTCCAGCTACCTGTGATGCCTGCTCGCTCGCGGTGCCGGTCGTTGAGCCGAGTGTCTTCTTGGTCTGCTCGGTGATGCTCTCGGCGGTTTCGAGGCCCTTGACAGCCGCGTTGGCGGCTGTCTGGTCGACGGCTTTGACGGCGTCCTTGATGGTCTCGGTGACGGTCTTGTGTAGGGCGGGGGAGGTGCTGATGGGACGAGCGGCCGCGGCAGGGGCGGTGCGGGTGAGGATGGTGCTGGTGCGGAGGGCGGTGGTGCGGAGGATTGAAGACATATTGAGATGTTTAAGTATGTGGTTTTTTTTTAAGGTTTTGAGGTGGTGATAATGGTGGCAGTGGTAATGTGTGTGTGATAGAGTGTTTTTGTATGCGTGTGAGGGTTTGTGTGTATTCGGTGCAGAATGAAGGGTGATAATTACGGGGGAATATTGGGCATTTTATAATTAATTCCCCACCGCCCTGTTGACCGTTTTCATTACTTCTTGGTTTGTTGGTTCGCAGAGTACTTGGTAGAGATCGTGAGAGCAGCACCGTTGCCGTGATGCGTATGTGTGACGTAAGTATTCGCGAACCGCGATTGGTGATGTCAACCCCACACCCGCCAAGATCGACCAGTACCAGCAACCCCTGTGCATGTGCAGCAGCTCCACAAAGATCCCTTTTACCTTTTCCCTTTTCCATTTCGCTTTCGCTTTTCCCTGCTCAGAACAAAGCTTTTGCCCTTCTCCTTGATCGACAGGACAGGACAGCTTCGGATCAAACCCTTGCCGGCCGTGACGTCAAATGGGAGGTTAGGGTTGCTGCGGAATAAACCTGTGGGGACTGAGACTCTAGCTCTTCTTTATCTCGCCGAGGTTGAGGTTGAGATTGAGGTTGGGGATTTGCGGACTACTGGATAGCTGGTACGGATTCAATTCGGCGGGTGAGAGGAAGTGGGATTGATGCCTGTTGATAGTTATCGATGAGACATCTGTCATGATTGACTGGTTCTCTGTAGCTTGATGAGCGGCGCACGGGGTAAACGTAGTACAAAGGAAAATTACCAGGAAAACCGTGGTAAATCCTCAAGGTGCGCCCTTTATGGGTCGGCGAAACGGCGCTTATTGAAAACACTACAGCCGCCCTCGCTTGTTACTTTACCAGCGGGTTCCTTGATGATAGCTTACATTAATAATTCAAAAACGCTTTGGGCCTAGTACGCTACTAAACCACTGTGGAGTACTGAATAGTTTGATCTTGGCATTGAGTGCTAGAAAGAACCACGGCCGGGATTGAACCCTGGCTTCGCAGCACTAACACCTACGAGCTGAGTTTCGGCGCACTATGTGCATCTACGACTACTAACCCCGATATCTATGATATATTTGGTCTTTGATGCGTGGGAATGAGCAGTACATACATACTTGTATGTACACGTATCTTGATTCTTGACTGTTACACAGCCTTCGAGACACCTAACTCTTGCCAGACACCTTTACACGTATATGGTTAATATACTCTCGTAACCGTAAAGGCGCCTAGGTCGTCTAGACAAAGTACCCGGGGGTCCCTAAAAGTGATGCAGCGTTTGACATAACGCCAAAAGACACCCGGATTCCAATATTTTAACACAAGGACTGAAAAAGATAGATATTCTAATCATACGCATGACACAGGAGTCTCTAGGATAGAATCTGCATTTTTCAAGTCATTGATTTGTATTTTTTAGCCTACAAAAGGGCCAACTTCCGACCAACAAAGGTGATAAAAGTACAAGCAACAGCTATTCATAATATCTCTTGTCAAAACTATGATCCCCACCTTGGAAATTATCATAAATCCACTTCGCATCTTGGCTAGTTTCGTTGTAGAAAGATAATGTTTTTGACCGAGTACCGTGTAAGACCTAGAATCAGGTCGTATGGCAACAGCACTAAAATCTTCATATAAATCTTGGAGGCGAAAAAGCTCGGCAATAACCACAACCCAAATTTGTATGGTAACGACCCGATTCCCAGTCTGACACGGTACTAGGTCAAAAACGTTACTTATACTTACAAGTAGTTTCCGGCCTTCGGCCGGTACTATGTGTATATCAATCAGTCCAATATACAGGCAAGCCGCTCTGCGGCTTATTTTTCTCTATTTGCCTGTCAGTCGGGGCTCTCAGGCCGCTGCGCGGCACTCGACCCCTCCTGGTAGGCAAAGTCCATCACTAGAGTAATATATCTAGATCTGCTCTGGTCGATATGTGCCTTTTCTGATATCCCCCATATATCAGCGAATAGGTCAGACAACTTCTCCAATTAAAACTACAAATATATCCCTTTAACAGCCACCAAGCTGCTAAAATCGAACTACTAATCGATCCCCAAAACCAGTAGAAAACTTATTAACAATCTAACACCACTCAGCACAATACCCTATGTTAATATCCAACACAACATGTTTCAAGTGGAATAAAACCTCTCTCAATGAGCTAATTAGAAGCTTATAAGAGTACATGCATATGCAGGTTATACCTATATACTTATTAGATAGGGCTCTGGAGCCAATGGGAGGTAAACGGGTAGGTCCGTTACATCCCTGATGAATGATGCATGATGCATGGCCAGACTCTGTTAATTAATGCTGACATGATCGGTTAAGCGTATGTTTGAAGCGATTATTCTTGCCAAGATAGATTAATCCCAACATCTTTGTTTGGCTCGTTCATGAACCCTTTCATTCACGCCCGGCGCCAGTGAGACTATCACCTTTTACAATGAACCCGACTTTCAGCAAAACCCCCATTTCAACCATCTTTATTTTTGCTCTTACTGCAACTGGAGTTCCCGACCCACAATATGAATCCCAAACACTACGCAGTCGAGATCAAGAGCGAAGCAATAGTGTCGAAATGATCACTATTGTCACCAGCATTACCGGTGTTTTAGTCGCAATTCTCACTCTTACGTTCATCTATTTCCCCCCCACTTTCCCGCCATTTTTCACTATTTTCAAATCTGACAATGGCCCAGCCTTTACCTACTACTTCCACCAGCCATGCCATGCCGACAAAGGACGACAACGATTTCTTCTGCATTTATTTCATCCTCATGTAGATTGCATTTACACAGAGCCGCGATTCTCGCTCTACGTCCTATGCTCCAAGGCCTGCATTCGAGATCGAGCAGAGATCTAGAGATCTAGAGCGCAATCTCAAATGAGAAGACGAGAAACGCCCAGAGCTATTGTCCTAGATTTTAAGCGACTAACTGATCGCCGTAATATATTAGATTGAAGTAACCTGAGTGTGCGACTTTCATTTCCATTTCTTATTTGAAGCAACTTGAGCGAGCAACTTTCATTTCCATCTCTTATGTTTGGTAATTTATCTTGAAGGGGTCGATACATGTGATGTGTCTCTTATTCTCTTTTGTTTTGATAACAACCTAGTTATTAATTCGGGACCCGTAAAACTTTAATCTCCTAGAACGGTTGAGAGCGGATTAGTGCCTAGTAGTAGGTGGATGCAGTGGAGGGGGCCAGACTGGGTTAGGGTTAATTACCTAGATTAGGGTTAGGGTTATCGGTTTAGGGATTGCATGCTGCCCCTTCGTTCGTTTTGCAAATTCGATCATAAACACTATTTAACTTGTACCAGCAACTTTTATCTCTAGCACACCTAACCCACACTCCGCGAACCTCGTCAGGCTCGAAGTCACAGTTTGCGACCTCTTTTTCAACACATCTTTCCACTCCTGGAGGATATAAACATATCAACTCGGCTATTCTATGTGAATCGCGGGTACAAACGAAGGGATAGGAAGAATGAAATAAAGATAATTCTTAAAAAGAAAGTCTCGATACCTTGCATATTCAACTTCACATGGTCTCGCCTTGTCTTGTTCAAAGTCTCGAGACGAAGCCTCCTCAGGGTTTTTCTTATGCCCATCACTAAAATTCCTACACCACACCCCTGTGAGCCCCGTACCCCCGTACCCCCGTAACCTGGTCTATAGTACTGGATAGCTGGCACAGATTCAAATGAGTAGGTGAGAGGAATTGGGAGTGTCTGTACTTATTGATAGGATGGCATAAAGAGTGTCTGTTGTGACCGGTTAGTCTCTGTATATAGCTTGGTGACCATGGTTTCGCATGGGGTGGATCGGGTAGAGAAGGCACAACAGCACCGAGATGCTCAACCTCTTGTGGCAATTGAATCCCGCAGTGGGACAATCCCAAGCATAGATGGCGCGTGCTCACAACTCGGCGGAACGCGCTTCCAACAGCCGCTTCGCTTGTTGCCATTACTAGCTTGCGTTTATAATTAAATACGCTTTGGGGCTAGTACGCTAGTTGGTAGCAGCAGTACATGTAGTAAATCCCTGTGAACTACTGAATAGTTGGATCTTGGCATTTATTACTTACCTGTAGCGCACACACCCACACCGAAAGTTAAGGAAGCCCACACTGTAACAGGGACGAGTGATTTTCTATGACGCTTCAGGGGCTTTGTCTACCGGCGTCATGGGTGGGCGGATATACTTAGCGTGAGACATCTCATCAGAACGACTGTTGGTAACTTACGGCGAAGACTGGACCAGGACATCTAACCAACAAAAAGAAACTTTGGGTTAGCTGATATTACCGATGCTCATCGGAGGCCGGGATACGCGGGGTAATTATTAGGCATCCCACCCACCTACCTACACGTTCATGACATCCACCACGATAAATATCAGAACCCACCACCCCGTGATATAGACCAACTCTACCTACTCCTCCTCACACAGCCGGAACCTCTCAGTTGAACAATGTCCGGCCATTACACTTTAAACTGGTCCTGCAAGCCCTGCAAGCTCCCCCGCCTCCCTCCCGGCACCGAGGAAATCCACATCACCAGCGGAGCCCACCTCAAAAATACCCTCAAACACACCAGCACCAAGACGTCGATACAGACATGGACATGTATACCCTGTAACTTCACGCTCCCCGCACATCGCCGCGATACTCACGAGGCATCGAAGAGGCATAATGCTATGAAGCGGCGGGGGGCGGTGCGGATCCAATTAATCCCAGCTGCTGCAGCGGATATGAAGGGTGAAGAGGTTGGCGATCAGACGCCACCGGCGAGCCGGAAGAAGATGAAGAAGGGCGGTACTAAGAATGCTAGAAATGTTAGTGTGGAGACACCAGTATCAGTTCCAATCTCTATCCCGCCTAAGAAGCGACCGAAACCACGTCAATCCGCCCCCACCAAAAGCGGGTGTGGGAAACGAGATCGAACTACCCACCACGAGAGTCAAAATAGTGCCCAAACCAAAGTGGCTAGGAATGTCATAAATTCACCCGCAAGTACTGTAGAGCGCACAGTAGTCAACGGGGCACCGGTGATCAGGATTATATCTGCGATGCCAGCGCCGGCTCGCATTGCTGTCCCGAAGATTAATCAGCCTCCTGTAGAGCGCTCATGGAGGACCTTGTATTCCGAGAGGCAAGAGAGATATGGATATGCTTATCCGGTGATATACTGACTCCACGTGTTATTGTGTAGCCGCAATAGCTAATACTTTTATCACATTCTCAGTTTAAGCAAGCGTGGTGGACGTGCCCAAGATGCAAGTGCACAATGTACGAAACCTGCAAGGGCGCACATGAGCTCAAGAAGTGCAAGCCCATGGAACTCGTCGAGTTCGTGCCGGCGCCTCCGAGGCGTATAAAGGCGAGGATCATGCCTGTTGATGTATCCCGCGGACTGCAGAAGATCTATGACTCTGAGGAGCGAGCTGCGCAGAAGGAGCGTTATTTGAGAAGAGCTGATGCGAGGGACAAGAGTTACAGGTACAGGAACGTTATTCCAACCCAGATTTTGAGTACTCCCGGTGTTCAGATCGGGATGTGGTCGAGGAGGCGGGAGATGAGGAGGCGGAGGGAGGCGGAGATAATGGGGAGGGAGGTGGAGGATCGGGAGAGGGAGGCGAGAAATGCGGAGGCCCGGAAGAGGAGAGAGAAGGAGAGGAGAGAGAAGGAGAGGAAGGATAGAGAGAGGAGAGAGCGGGGGATGAGGGCTCAGCAGATGAGAGATGAGATGAAACCTCAGGGGAGGAATGGTAAAAAGTCTCGGGGGAATAATTCTCGGGGGAATAGTTCTCGGGATAATAATTCTCGAGGTAATAATTCCCGGGGGAATAGCTCTCGGGGGGACAATTCTCGGGGTCGGGGGAATAGGAGGAGAAAGGCCAGGGGACAGGGAGGGGCTTAAAAGTATGTATCCATATTGTTTAAATATATGTAGCTATAAAGTTGTTCGATATACTCGGGCGTTCATTAAATGGTCGGATATCGTTGCAACCAAATCCCTACTAAGAATTCCGACCATTTAATAAACGCATGAGTATTATTTCTATATAATGAGATTCAGTTGGCTTTAAGGCTAGCTCGCGAGCCTCTATATCGTCCTACAAGATAGACCTATTAGTATAATTAGGATAAATCATAGCGTGGTATTTCCTTACCTAAATTAATTGCCTTTTGAAGTAATTTTAATGTATGGTAAAGCTCGAGCCTTGGCTCGAGAGAAAGTCAAACAAAAAAATACTCGAATATTCCGAGTGAGATATCGTGACCGATGAGCTTAGAGATAAACTGAGTTTCCCCGCTTTCTAGATCTCTTGGTCAAAGCTAGCCGCTATTCAGGGCTGCTATACTGAAGCCAGATCTCACTCGAAATGATTGTTTCAGTAGATTGCTGTCAGCAGTATTCATATAGCTTTGTCTTGATAGATACTTAGCTGGATGAGCCGGTTCATGAGCATGACCTCGGACTCGATGGGATTGAGAAAAAGCCAACTAAGAAGCCCTCCTCCTATGATAGATCATCTAGGGTAGGAGCGTCATCACTTCTCCATCTATCTGGTAGATCAAAAGCTGCTCCTGTGATGATGGTTAGTGATAGTGCGGTTATTTGGGGCAGCGGTACTGAAACCGCTGGTCATGAACGAGACAAAAGGATCGATGAAGGAAGCAAGAGACGTAGGATGAGATTGTCATGATCAATGCCAAATTTCCGGCGTTGCTATGATAGACTTATCTTGCATTGAGGAGAGGAGGAAGGCTACGTTTACAAGAATTAAATATACATGTGTCCACCTCGCACTGCAATGGTGTTTCACCGCCGTAAAGACCACCCTTCCGCCAACTTCCCGATGCTGTAATCTCACACACGACCTCACGAAACCTCAACAACTAACGCCAAAGATCGAGGAAACCCACGCCAAGGAACCGTCCGGACACCCTTCTGGCCCTAGCCCTCCAGTCGGCGAAAATCAAAATCCTGGATTGGCACAGGGTACGACTCCTTGCTATATAAGACTTCCCTCTCTGCCCTCTCTAACACTTTTTTCCCTCAGGGAGCAGGCAGCTCTCTAAGTAGTCCTTTTGCTGGACTTGAGCTGCCTGCTTCCCCCCTCCTCAAATCCCCCCCCCTTCTCTCTCCCTGCTCCCCTCCCTCCTCCCTGCTCCCCTCCCTCCTACTTGGAGGAGAAGTGGTGGGGGAGGAGAGTAGTGTGGTTAAGGGCCCCTCCGTCTCGCTGGGCACTGTTGCCCCAGGGAAGAGGGGTCTAAACCCCACTACTCCTCTCTCCCACCCCGTCCAAGAAGGAGGGGAGGGAAGAGGGAGGGGGAAGAAAGGAGGGCAGCACCTCTCCTAGTCCTGCGGGACTGGGAGGGTGTTAGTTTATCCTGGCCCCTCTTGGTCCTTCGGGACCAAGAGGGGCCTTTTTTGCGTTAGGTCTCTCTCTCCAAGCGGAGAGAGTGTATCTTGGCCCCTCCTGGTCCTGCGGGACTAGGAGGGGCCTTTTTTGCGTTAGGTCTCCCTCCGTATGGAGGGAGTACATGTAGTTTATATTTAAAGGCCTCTCTTGGTCCTTGGGCTCCAGCCTGGGGATCAGGAGGGGCCTTTTTTGCGTTAGGTCTCCCTCCGTATGGAGGGAGTACATGTAGTTTATATTTAAAGGCCTCTCTTGGTCCTTGGGCTCCAGCCTGGGGATCAGGAGGGGCCTTTTTTGCGTTAGGTCTCCCTCCGTATGGAGGGAGTACATGTAGTTTATATTTAAAGGCCTCTCTTGGTCCTTGGGCTCCAGCCTGGGGATCAGGAGGGGCCTTTTTTGCGTTAGGTCTCCCTCCGTATGGAGGGAGTACATGTAGTTTATATTTAAAGGCCTCTCTTGGTCCTTGGGCTCCAGCCTGGGGATCAGGAGGGGCTTTTTTACGTTGGGTCTCTTTCGTTCCTGTCTATTCGTGGGGAAGGGCTCCTATTGATTCTTGGGCGTGATCGAGAGGGGTTCTTACTCTAGGTACGTTTGTTTTAGTGCTCTCTGTGAGGGACGGTAAATTGGTATGGTATGTATAGAGAAGCTGTAAATCGGTAAGTAGAACGTATACGTAGATTGTAGAGACCCTTCAGGATACAAGAGGATAGCACCTTTTTAGCTGAGCGGGTGAATATCTGGCAGAACCCGAGGCCCATATGCATGGCCATACGTATCATAACAATCCCAAAGTTGCAAAGTTTCTACATAATGATCCGTAGTTTCAGCCACCTATACAATCATCCTTCCTGACGGGTGCTTAATTCCGTATAGATTTACCTGAAACCTAAAGTAGCCACATATCACGCTATAGTAGCCATATATATCGCCTTAATTAACCCGCATAGATTATAGGAGGTTGGAATCTGTTCATACACGACGTGTACACATAAAAGCCCAACAACCTCTCCCATTCCCTCATCTCTCTCGAGCTCAACACACATACTCTTTCTAAAACTCTACAACACCACGACATCCAACAGAAAAAATATTCCATTAGGGGGGTGTGCGTGATCGAGTGATAATTCATGATCCGCTCACCACCACCCACCCACCATCATCACTCGCGGCCGCCGTCAACCGCATACCTGAATACTGAACAGAGGAAGCCTTGTACCACATTTATTCACCATCGGGCGTATTTTCAGCACTACAGCTTAAATAACTTCTGGCCTGGTGGGCTCCACGTACCGCGAAGCACTGCCCTCGCCGCGAGAATGAAACTGCCTACCCCGAATACGAAGAAAGTATCGATAGCAGACGAGATGGCTATGGATATTCTCTGAAGAACTGGAAAGTTCACCGCTCGTGTGAGCCTGGCGAATAGGTCTCCAGCACTTATCCCACCACGACCACGAATACGAATACGTTTCGACAGCTTCATGATTCACTCGCACCCACAGGTCTCTTCAAAACGAGGTGGAGACAGCAGCAATACGAGCGCTCGTAAAACAGCAGTCTATATAAAAACGATAGCCAAAGACTTCAGTACTTTAGCGCTCCTGCGCGCCCACAGCTGTCGAAGAGGAAGAGGTCTCGAGCCTAGCACAGCCACACAATATCTAGACAAACCTCAAAAGAAGGCTACAGCTCGAATTGCGACCCGGATAGCGAACCAGATGCGCCATGAATGCGCCAACGCTAATGAGGCTCTCTATACACGAGCCCCCGGAACAGGAAGACGAAAAAATAGGTTGTGCCTTTGTGGTCGCTCTTCATAGAGGCAGATAGATTATGAAGGCGTATATAGATGAAAGACGGAAGGCTACCAATATCTTGGATTCCATGGGCTCGCGCGCCAGACATGCGGCTCGATCTATATTCACAATTAAAAGAGATAGAACGTGGGGCTTCTATATACAGGAGGGCTCAAGTCACGGCCATAGTTCCGCCTTTTCTGCGCGCAGAAGTAGCCTCTAGGAAACTACATCGTCAGGCTTCGCAGCGGGCTGGGTCCGACCCACCGACCCACCGACCGGTGGGCTGGCTTTTCCATTTTATGATTATACGATTATGAATAGAGACTGGCGTGGCCGGGTCTGAAGAAAGGGGCGCGGAGGTAACGTATCATACATGGACCATCACTCGGCCTTGTTAGCGAGAATCGGGGTCTTTGGGACAGGGCTGGGAAATATACAATGGACTCTCAGGCTTGGGTCTGATGGTTGTGGAGGCAGATTGCTAATAATTGCAAGGATTAGGTTTATTCAGCGGGTGTCAATGATAGCTACAAGCCAGGTACCTACCTACCATCCTACGACTACAACTATCTACAACACCATTAACTACTCCCCCTTAAACTCCGGCTTCCTCTTCTCCCTAAACGCCCTCAACGCCTCATTCCGGTCCCACGTGCCCACAACCCTCTCATACGCCCACCCCTCCCCCTCCTCCCCGCCCCTCCCCCTCCCCACCGCCTCCACCGCCGCCCTAACCGCCACCGGGCCCCCTCTACACACCTCCATCGCGACCTCCACCGCCCCCTCCACCGCATCCCCCTCCACCACCCGATTCACCAGCCCCATCCCCAGCGCCTCCGCCGCCCCCACCCTTCTCCCGGTCAAGATCAAATCCAACGCCCTACTCCTTCCCACCAGCGCCGGGAGCCGGTAGCACCCGCCGGCACCGGGCACAATTGCGAGCCGCGTCTCGGGCAGCCCGATTTGTGCACCCTCGGAGACGACGCGCAGGTCGGTGGCCAGCGCGAGCTCGAGGCCGCCGCCGAGCGCCACGGAGGAGATGGCGCTGATCGTGGGGATGGGGAGCGTGCTGAGGTTTGTGAGCGTGCTGCGGAGACTGGTGAGGAAGGCGTCCGTGTCGGCTTTGGTGAAGCCCGCGCGCTCCTATCATTCGCCCGCTGTCAGCTACCGGCCCCGCTGCGGGCAGGGAGTGGGGAGGAGAGGGAGGGTACCTTTAGATCCGCGCCCGCGCAAAACACGCCCTCCACGGCACTGCCAATGATCAGCACGCGGGTGTCGCGGTCCGCGCCGCTCCCAATCGCATTGACATGCTCGGCCAGCTCGGCCAGCAGCGCGCGCGAGATTGCGTTTTTGGCTTTTGGGCGGTTGAGCTTGAGCAGCTTGATTGTGCCGGTGTGGGGGGCGGGGATGGAGGTTGATGTTATGAGCGGCGGTGCGGTGGTGGTGGTGGTGGAGTAGGGGCGGCGGCGGAGGAGGAAGCGGAGGGGCGTGGGTGCGAGCATTGCTGTATATAGGAATTATGGGTATGTAATGCTTTTTCTACTTTAATTGTGGGGTTCTAGAGATGTGGAGAGGTGTTGGGTGTGGGGAGCTGTGGAGCTGTGGAGCTGTGGAGCTGTGGAGCTGTGGAGCTGTGGAGCTGTGGAGCTTAGCTGTGGCCGAGGGTAGCCGGGACATGGGCTATCACTCGGTGCTGGCTGGCTCGCGTGTGTGCTCGTGGGAGCTCTAACAATGGCAGGGGTGCGTGCATGGAAAGCCCCCCCATGCGCAGATCAACAGCTCGTGGGGCAATTGAAAGAGAGTCCATTACTCTATCTACCACAATAACACACTGCGTAACTACCGTAGATGTATAAATAACACTCTGGGCACTGTGTGATGATCCACAACAGCTGCGTATGCCCCGTACGCAACTCTCAGAACTTCACCAAGAAGGCTACGAATTCTCCCAAGATATTTCTGCCGCGCTCAAAGCTGCGTTAAAAAAAAAATTTCATCCAAGACTCCAATCTGCTTGGTCAAAAGTAAACCCCTCGACATCCCACCACTAGAAAAGCCCCTCATCCCAGCGATTACCCCTGTGCGCCACAGCCAACCACCAGTGGCAACCGCACCAGCCAATCACAAACCCCGCTGGACGCAGCCGCAGCCACAGCCGGTGACGACTGCTGCTGCTGCTCGTACTCAGGTTCGCCGGGGGGGCCCAAGAGTATTATAATAGCGACAGACCGAAGGGCAGAGAGTCCTCACTTCTGCTTCGTCTTTTCCCTCAATATTCTGCTCCATGGACGCTTTTAGTGAAACAAAAATGCCGCGGCCGCAGCCGATTCAAGCTGGTTCGTTGTCGACCGTGACAAAGCTGGCCGACAATCCGCCCTTGTATGTGAACCCGACGGCGCCGGTGATGCCGTCGCTGATACTCTACATTGTGAGGGTTCCGGGCAGCCAAGGTTAGTTGTTTTGCTGCTGTTGTGGGGTCCATCGTGGAGATTGCTCGGCGGTCCCTTTGTTAATCAGCCTCAATAGCTAACAACTGCGCTTTTAGATCTCTTCCTCACAACACTCCACCCTCTGTCCACAACAGTGACAGCTGAGGATATCAACGCCTGCATCTACTATATCCATATCCACCCAAACAGTACCGGTACCGACGCTACAAATCCTCCCCAGCCCAGTCACCTTGCACCCCGCCCTACTCACCACCGGCGATGGTCCTCTCAAAGCTTGCGCTCACCGCGCTGGCACAAGACGACTGGAACCCTCCCTACCATGACCATCGTCCGCCGCGACCCGGCCAGCGGCGCACAGTGGAATGTTGCCAAAGTCAGCCAGCTGCCACCCGTTCCAGGTAATGACGACGCCGGTAATAACGATCGCATCATGCTCGAGATTACCGCCGAAGGTTACGACAAGTTCTTGCCGCCTGCGAAGCCACCGTTCCATCCGCCGCCGTCAACGCAAGGTGTCTCTTCTCCAGGAGGGCCTGACCTTACGTGGCAGGACTTTGCATACCGGACTGAAGCGGAGGAGCGGGAGGCTTGGGAGACGAGGCGCCGCGAGCAGCTCAGGAGAGAGAGTAGCCAGTTTGGGATAAACGATTGGATGATCGATGATGACCATCCACTTGAAGAGGTGGATAGGGTGTTTAAGCGGGTAATGTCGTTGGAAGGTGTCGGGTTCTGGAAGAGAGTAAAGGGCATAGGACATCATAGGAAGAGTAAGAGTCATGATGGGAATGGGAGCAATGGTAGTAGCGGAGGTGACGAGAAAGCTGGTCCAAGGAAAGAGAAGGCCAAAAAAAGAGGGTACGTCTTCCAGGCACTTTGGGGTGCGGGTGCGGATGGTGGAATTGGCAGGTGTGGGTTCAAGGATGAAGCCGCTGGAAAGTTCTTGAAGGTCAGTATCTTTTACCATAGAAACCTTCATAACACACCAGCCAATTGACAAACCACTTGTAGTGCAAATATTACCCACCAGATATCAACTCAGCTGCCCAACGCTCCTCCCTCCTCTCAGTCATCGAATTCAAGCCCCCCTCCACAACTGTCATGTCTTCATCTTCCTCAGGCCGTCATAGAACTCCAAGCCCCTCGACGGACATCAACTCCGCTGCCCCAGAATCTATAACATCAGTAAAATCAAAGTTGGGGATGCTTGTGCTGCACAGCGATGGGCAGTACATGATGGATTTGCTAGTCGCTGCGAACATGGCAGTGTTTTGGAGGCGTTGGGAAAGCTGGGCCGCCGAAAGGTCAGCTTTGGGCGCCAGGTAGAGGATAATTGGTCTGGAATATGTCGGGATAGGCGTTCTTGTTTTCGGTGCATTGAGATAGATGATTCGGTACCTAGATGGCATTACTTGCTTTTCTTTTTTTTTTTAGTTTATCTTTTTTAGTCATGATACCAATGAAACTTATCTGCCTGATTTACGATACAAATTAGACATACGCGTCCCTTTATGTGAACTGTTTGATGTAGTGCGTTCGGAACTGATCCCGTCTCGGATCATGAAACATCTCAAACGGCTACTTGCAAAAATCCAGGGCTTCGATCCCAACTGCGACAAAACCCTGTGAATAATACCAAGGCTTCCCATGTTATCGATAACGCCTGGAAGATCCATCAACATTTTACACAACCGTGGGGGCTACTGGCACCCACCGATACTTACAATTACGAGTTGCCAGGTAAAAAATCCGCTACGTAGGTGGCAGCTATAGTTTGTTGAATGAAATCGAGCGTACTCTTCTTGAGCCTTGTAGTTCTCTGACAGCCCCGACTTGTTTTGTGAAACTTGACTGAATCCCCACCACTAAGTGGACTCCTGAATACGGGTTGGATTCTGGTGACCAAAGTAGTAGAAGTACATTTTCTGTCACAAATGTTTGTCACCGCGCGATGACCGGCTGACCTCATCCTCTCTTCGTCATTTTCAAGTACAACAGGTTTTTGCCACAGTGAGAGGCGGTACTGCTAAAAAGCTTCAAACTGTTGCTATCACAGCTCTGATTGCTGCTATCACCCCTTTAGGTCCTGCCATGAGGCTCTGTGACTTTACCTCTCCCAGAAGTCTAGAAACCCCCCCCCCTTGGGCCGATCAGCATGCCTAAAGGGCTTCAGGGAGCTGTGAGGGGCGAATTGGGAATACCCCAGATCTTGGTAGCAGCTGCATCCCCCGCAGATCCCAACCCACAACCCCGTTTTTCCCATCGAACAATCTCTGGTCGAAAGATTCTCGCACTCTACGGTATGAGTAACTGTCGATCGACTCCAGGGGGAAACGGACGGATATTGCTGGCCTTAGGCCTCCGTTGAAATCGCTGACGTCGTCGCCCTAATGACAGTATTTGAAACGGTCAGCCTCAAGATATGAGTCCGTTTATTGATGGGAATTAATAATTGACTCGGTAGTCTCGGCCAATAGATAAATTTCTTGGGGTGGGAGTTCTCAGGACTGGCTGGCAAAGACTGAATACATGTGCCTGGCGCGACATGCACCAGGCAAGGCAATGAACTTTAAACAAATACAATGTAGATAGCAAGTAGTTCTGGTTAAAAGATCACATGGGTGCTATTTTTGAAGAAGACATGGCACATACACGGCTGGATACGGAATAGGGCTTGGCACCTGTTATCAATCACAAACTATCACTCGACCTATCCACCTCCATCGATCTCTTAGTTCACGAATCACGACCTGGCCCTTTGCGATTGATTTCTCTTAGTCCCAAAAGCACATGTTGTGAATTGGTTTTCTCAATCTATTTACGAACTGCCAGCTCAACACGGTACACCTAATCCGTCCTAGTGACGCACGGACCACCAATATTCCTATTGGTACATACATATACGTACGTACCAACATCAACAGGTACAGCTGCTTGGCTGATCATGCCGCTGGACCGGGCGGTGAACAATGTGGCTGATGGAGCATCATTGGCTCATACATTCGGGAGCTTGCCGCCGAAATAGTTTCCTGCGAACGTCAGGTAGCTACCAGTACCTACTCTAGCACTGGGTGGTTCAGGGGTTGTTTCACAATTGATCACTCGCCCCAAGGAGTTCGCCCGTGGTAGATATGGTATATCTCCCTATGGCTGAGTAGTGGCGACTCTAGATTCCTCCAGTGATTGGAGGAAGAAGTGGATAGTTAAATAGTCACAGAGGCACGTGCTCACTTTTTTTCCGTACAGGTGAGTACTTAGCCGTGAGCCAGCTAGAAACGGGATGAACATAAGACTAAGCCCGAGATTGATACAGAACAAAGAAGGCACAGCTGGTATTGATTACTTGTAAAGCTGAAACGCCGTAGTATTATACTCACTCCATACTTCTTCGATTGAGTATACCAGCTGTCGATCTAGGGAACTGTTCTCAATGTTTCTAGAGATTATACGTATGCTGAAGCTTCCTCGGTGGCTTTAACTACTTGTGATATAGCTAGAATTAGAGTTTCCGGCCTGATTCCTGGCCACCAATGAAACCTGTTATTCGTTATACTAGGCCGAGGATGATGAGCGCAGCACGAATGGACGCCTGTAGCTCGTTATTAGATATGGGCCTCAAAAATAATCAAACGGTATATACCGAATTTAAAGCCCATTCGTCTCTTTGGCAGGGCTTTCTTCATAATCGGATGAAAATATTCTGAAATGATCTTGATAGTACGTACACTAGCAGCACACCATGTAGATCTTAAATTAAGGCTTTCGGCCCCGGATCATCCATAGCCCGCCTTACAAATGCGTTGAATGGGCAGTGATCCTGCGGCCTTCCTGTCAAAACTTGAGAACGTGTGGGGTAGTGCACAAGGCTTGGATTTTGGAGCTAGACCATGCATGCCATTGTGCAGAAACATTTTTCATAACAGAAAAGGCTTAAGCATAATTGATTCCCGGTTAAGGCTTTCGAAACAGGTGGGATGAAGGTCAAAATCAAGGGATCCTAGCAGCAGGTTAATATATAATCTCCTGAGATAATTCAAGGCTGTTAACTAGTTATGAGGTTAAGATCTATATTGGGAACTATCGACTAACGTTATAAATAAAGTTAAAATATAAAGGTACACACTTCTAGTCCGCCCATTGAACGTCTGTTATATGGGTAGTACGTAGATGGCCATGGAGTTACACAGAGGGCCCCGTCGACCGTCATAGAATATCACATACGTTTACGTACTGTCATTCTGGTATCACCTGCCTGGCGAGCACAGCACCACTTCATCTGCAGCTGAGCTTTCCTGATTTTTAGCTCGATATCACCGTACCTCATTTCTATGGAATGCTGCTCTAACTTGTATAGAGATGTGCAATGCTCGGTGAAGTTAACAGTTAGCTATTGTGTAGTGGTAGGTCATTTCGAATAGGTTATTTATAACCACAAGTACATATATGTGTGTGGAGACAGGGGTATATTACAATGTGTGTTACACAGGTACCTGTCTGTCCCTGGTACAGTGTAACTGTAACCTCAGCCTCACTCGTAGTACACTAGCAGTCTGCTGTAGAACTGTCTCAAGAACCCCAAAGAACAAATACACACTTTCGTCATTAAAGTATGAAGTTGGATTTAACTTCTAAAAAGCTTTCCTTATCAGAAGATTCGTCGCCTTTTGAAAAACTTGGATACACATGCGCCTTCACCGTCACGCGCGAATCAACGCAACGAGAACATTTGTTCCTAAATCCCTGTTCGGAGGCGGTGCATGTGTGGTTGTGACGCACTCATTGATCTGGGGTGTGCATAGCTGAGGGGTTCCCTTCTGAACTGGGACTCCAAAAGACGGTCGATCTGACTGGACCAGTATATAAGGGAAAGTAGCTGCATTTTTCTTCGGCCATCTCGTCCTTTCAAAAGTGATACTATTGAAAATATCATGGTATGTGATATCAAACCCCGCTCCCAATATCCGGCCTGGTCAGGCATAATGACCACGATGTTGACGTCTGCTTTACTTAGGCTTCGTTAAATTCTATCGGGGTCAAACTTATAGCGAGTGGGAAAGAGCCTACCGTGGAGTATGTAGACACCTTGGCACCATCATATTGAAGCTTATACACACCCCACGTTGATGCCATACTGTGCCGTTTGCTGACCTAGGCGGGATGAAGCATAATTGCTGTTCATGGCCTTCATGGAGATGCTTACAAAACATGGACAGCCAAACCGGAAAAGGCTGGTGGGGCAGAGGTGATGTGGCTACGAGATCTTCTACCTACAGAAATACCCAATGCCCGTATTCTCGCATACGGGTACGACTCAGATCCTGGGAGGTTTCTTGGAGGTACCAGTACAAGCATGGTCCATCACCACGCATTCACTCTGGTTTCGGAGCTATATTTCTTCAGAAGAGTGAGTTTGCATTTGATACGAGCGAAGAATGATGGAATCTAACTGTTTGGTTTTAGCGAGAACATGAGAGGAGAAGACCCATCATCTTTGTTTGCCACAGCTTAGGAGGGATTGTTGTCAAAAGAGTGAGCTTCCATCCGATGTTTGCAGAAACATAATGGAGGTAGTTATATCTAGTAAGGATCACGACTAACCGGTTTTGGTTTACGGCAGGCACTTATCTACTCCAGCAGCTGCAATCTTAGCCATAATGCTCACCTCAGGGCCATCAAGGTTTCGACGTATGGAATATTATTTCTGGGCACACCTCATATGGGTGCTGATCTTGCAAAATGGGGGAAAATGGCTGAAATGATTATTCGCTTGGTAACACCTAAGGCCTTAGTGGACTCGAATAGCGCCCTTCTCAAAACTCTCGAGTGGAACTCCGAGACGCTGCAAAATATCACAGACAACTTTCTGGGAATTTCAAGGGACTTCAAATTGTTTTTTTGCTGGGAGGAATTAAAGACATCAATACCAGGGGTGGGGAAAGAATTGGTAGGCTCTACGTATTTCTTCTGGGTAAATGTGTTACTAACTGACTTTTAGATTGTTGAATATTCATCCGCCGTACCAGAAGCACTCGCCGATGCCGGTCGAGCAGCTATCCACGCAAACCACAGTGAAATGTGCAAATTTTACGATGTGAACTCACCAGGGTGGAACATAGTGGCTGGGTGTCTCTACCATTTTGCTCAGCAGGCGCCAGCTGCCGTCGAGAGATGTTGGGCGCAGGAAACCCAGCGAAACGTACAGGAAACTCGTTATTACGTGACAAATGTTATGCAAGGTACGTTATAACCTGGTTTCGGTGACTTGTGGAGTTACGAGGCTTACTTGCAAACAGATACGGAAGAACGGCTTACGTCGACACCTGTACTTCCGCTTAACTCAAGGACATCTTCCCCAGGAAGTATGAGAGTAGTCAGAGGTGTTGAAGGCGGTTTTATTCAACCAGATGAGATCTCTGAGTTTGGTGAACATTATGAATCGGCAAACACCTCCCATAGTATGTGGCCCTATCAAAAATGATAATATTAAAACCACATTAAATAGTTTGAATTTACTAACAATTTAACAAGATCTTCTTATCAAGAACACACCTTTTGTTAAACCTCTTTCACTCCAAGAGAATAAGTACTTTGAAGGGGGAGATGACGAGCTAAAAATAATCCATTCAATACTCACCGACCCAAATAAGAGGGTAGTGAGCATATCCGGAGTGACTGGTGCAGGGAAAACACATCTCGCGCGGGAATACTTTTTTCATAGAAAGTCGGAATTTCCTGGAGGCGCATTCTGGATCGACTGCAAACACATTGGGGATACATTATCTACCGAGTCACTAGATTTGGGGTATTGCATGATAGCCGAAGAGCTTGGATTATCAAACCAGCAGAATATCAACAAACATCAGAGCGTTGATCCAAAATTGAGCACCCGATTTGAGGTAAACAATTGGTTCGACAAACACGATGGGTGGCTACTCGTACTTGATGGTGCGAACGTGGAAACGAACAATGAAGTTAACCTATTATCAGAGTATGTCCCCAAAAGTAAAGGCGGAAGCATTATTCTTACAACCCTGAATTCTTCTTTCGCTGGTGCTGCCCGCTTGGGAAGCCCAGAACGACTAGATCTTGGACGAATTACAGAGGATGAGGCGGTTAGAATGGTTATGCATTACAGCCAAATAAACTCGCCGTCCGGAGCCGAGATTGAGGCAGCAAAGAAGCTAGTGAAACATTTGGAATACAACCCATTAGCGATTCAATCAGCAGGCAGCTACATCAAAGGGAAAAAAGTATCAGTATCTGACTACTTGAAGAAATATGAAAAGCGGCCATTCGTCGAAAGAGAGTTTTTAGAGCCCTTTCACATCATATTTGATCGTTTGGACATTCGTTACGAAGAGGCTGGAAACCTACTGCGCCTGATCGCATTCCTTCACAGAGAAATACCCGTTCAGATGCTGGAATTCGGTATAAAATTCATACCACAGAATATCCAGGTTCTTGCGGGGGACGCCGATAGAAGGGACTTGAATAATACGATTGGTCACCTTTTGGCATATTCGATGGTTGATAGAATCGGAAAGCAATCTGACGATGTTCAAATCGACACATTGGTAATTCACAGCGTTGTTCAGGAAGTGTGCATTTCTCGATTACGTAAAACGCCCGGTGAATTGAAGAAATGGCTTGAATTAGCGATTGGGATGTATTGCAAGTCATTCGATACGATGGAATTACGGCAATATCGCGCGAGATTTTTGGTATCGGATTATCGACGATACGAACTTCATGGAGTGAGGCTTCTAGAGCACGCAAACAAACACAAACTTGCAAAGGTAGAACTGGAGAGGGTCTTGGAGAAGCTCAGAGAGGCTATCAATGGTGATGATCAAACGGAAGGGCCCAGAATTTCTATGTTCGCCAGTGGTTCTGATAGCGCATCTGAGACTCCCTCTGCGTCACCGGAAAGTTCGAGGCACCCAACTTGGAATGACAAGCCTGGTGTGGCCAGACCAGCAGGAAATTCACAGATTGGATCTATAGATAGGCTTCAGGAGTATTTAAACCAGAAGGAACATTGGAAGCGTCTTGCGGAACATGACACTTCCTACGACTCGGATATCGAATACCAGCCAACAAGGCGTCCGCATCGAACACATCTTCCAAGACCCAGGACAGGAGAAAGGCCCTATACTTTTCGTTACGAGCCTCCGGGGATACCAAGAAACGGACAAGTACGTATACCGATGTATTCTAGACCGCTAGATTCACAACTTGTCACTGAGAATGCATCCCCTCAGTACATGAACTCTAGACGCACCAACGACCAATCGCAATTCGCTGATACCGAGCAAAACTCACCTCTTAACTCTCGTGCCTATTTGAGATCATTGTTGAGAACACCATCAGGTTTTTCCTCTGTTATCTCCCCATCTCAATATAACTGGCCATGGCATCGCAATCATTCCTCCCCTCAGAGTGCATCCCTTCAATCGCCTTCAACATTCGGGCAAGCACCCCAAGGAAATTCAACATTTCCTATATCCAATGGGGTTCAAACTCCGGTTAGAGGAAGATCCCCTGTTAGAAGAGGCTGGGAATCGCTTTCCAATATTCAATTACCCATAGACCAGGTGCCAAATTCTTATAGTGGAGATGGTCTGCATGCACCTGTGTACGACGACGATTCTCTGCATGCTGATCCAGAAGAGTTTCCTTTTGGTGGAAGTGGTGGCCCTTCACATTATCTGCCCCCACGAATCAAAACACCAGTAGATTATCAGGGTAAAGGAGGCATCCTCGACATGCCATATGAGCCTTCGCATACTGTGGCTGTCAACCAAACAAAGCCATTCTCGCCCGGATTCTCACCAAGCAGGGATCTATCGAGCTCTCCAATTGCGAGAAGTATTGTTGGTCCGAGATACGATAGGCCGCCTTCAGCTGCATGGTCGGAGCCTATATTAGAACATGAAGACGATTTCTCCCCACACCCTTCACCTTTCGGTTCTACAAATATGATAAGAGCACGATCCTCGACGGCAGCAACAAATGAGAGGTCACCTCGTGTTTCTCAGTTACAAGGCCTGGACTTCAGGGCTAGTGTGCAGGCATTAGGTCACCAACGATCTATCAGTGGCGGAGGACGACCTTTGCCGAGATCCATGGTACACCCAGTCCATAGGATTGTCTCAGAGCCATGGCAAGTTTCCTCGACAGAGCCAAACCAGGTCTCTCATTCGCCTGGCTTGGGTATTGATGGCCTTCATATCCCATTCGGACTTCCAGAAGTCACTGTCGCTCCGCACTCACCAGATATCATGCCCTCCGAAAGGTTCGCAGGTGGAATGCTAAGATTAGATCAGGATGAAGATCTACTGCGCGGTGAACATCATTTGGGTGAGAGAAGAAGTTCAGTGCCTGAAAGAGCCATTGAATTAGGGTCTACAGATATGCAAAGATCCATCAGCGAGCCAATATCGGGGCTTGGCGTCTCAATAAGGCGAAGATCTCCACTCCTGGAGCAGAAGTCTCACAACGACTAATTCTGGAGTTTGAAGAGTGGAATTTGAATTTGTCTACTGGTGCGCGGATCTCTATAATCTGTTGGTCTCTCTTATTTTTATTTTATTTTTATTTTCGTTTTTCGTTTTTCGTTTTCGTTTTTCGTTTTTCGTTTGTTTAAAGGGTAGTTGCATTTTCAGGGACTTGGCAATGATTATGGGTGGGCTACGTCGCGCGGAGTTCTATATATTTGTATTTCTTTTTGGGTTATCTGGTATGATCGTAACGTTTGGCATCGTGGTTTGGCATTGAATACTTCGCTTGCCAGCGTGTGGGCATGGGGCGCGAGCTTGAAACAAGGGTTATTTGAATGGCATAACGGCGCCTCTCCATAAAAATAGTCCTTGACCCTAGCAGACGCACTTTCTGGTTCATATGCCGGTAAGTAAGTATATCGGGAGTTGGAAGGGCTAATGGTTCATGGTGTTAACTTGCGAGTGATGGTTTGTGATCCACGGGCAAAAGTAATTTATATGAGTGTATATATGCGCTTTTTTGCTTAAAAATCCACCATTCATTCAATAAAAACTTCCGAGTTCGTAGTATATAGCTGTAAATTCTTTGGGAACGCGAATATGATTAACTCTCCCTCACCTCACACCTTGCCCCACGCTAGTACTATGAACACAGAGTAAACTATTATGACTTTTTGAAAAAGACACTTTCTGCTTTCCTTCGTTGATTCGGTGGAGTGAAAGGACGATTGATGCGGCATAATTATAGGATACGTATACCAATGCGGTATATTGTATTGCCATAACTGTAAGGTTGTATGCAATTAATGAATTAAACAAAAGAAAGAAAAAAAAAGTGCGGTATATTGTACCGGGGCTGATCAACGACCATTCCTTCGCTCTCTACTCTCCTTCAAATAAAATTATGCCGGCACAGATTCTTGAAGTTTATTTGTTTTATAAATCTATTTATAAGGAGTTTTATGCTCATTGTGGGGGTGAGGTTTTGGGGGGGGGGGGGGGGTCTGGCCCCTCGGTATTGGCGACTAAAGTTGGAGCAGTATGTACAAAGTGACGTACATGTAGTTGGTGGCAGGAGCTTCTAGAGGAGCGCTGATTGCAATTATACATGTAACCACATGGCCTTAACAGTTTTTTGGGGAGGAAGAGAACTGAATTGAAAGTGGAGATCATATATAACGGATTATTTACACAAACACACCAGGCAGCTACGCATTCACCTACTATTCCATATTACATCAATCCTCGTGCCTCTTACTTACCACCTCCAACACCCCCTCGTACTCTGGAAACCATCTCCTCGTCAACTCTGCTGTATACTTTCTCAACCTCTCACTTCCCAATACCAGTTTCAAAAACTCTGGATTTCCTGGCTGCCCGATCGCATTTTGGAGGAACCCACAAAGAATCATATCAATCAACGTCGGCTCGCTTCCATGAAAGAATTCTATCCCCTCTAACCTCGCCTCGAGACCTTCAACCCACTCCCGTACCAGTCGCTCCCGCTCCGCATCAGAATGCCGGCCGAAACCATTCGCCCACATCGCGTTGGTGATATTCCGCTTAAGGTAGAACCCGAGTAGCCACTGTAGTGGCCACGGGCCTGGAAGGATAGATCGAGAGGCATAGAAGTTGGCGGGTATGCACCACCGCTGGTACACAATCACTGGATACAGCAGCTCCTCCGTCCATGTCTGCCACGCTCTCGAGTCTGCACGCTGTGCGGCAGTGAGCCGACTATCTGGATCTGGGACCACACCCTTCTCAATGAGCTCCCTGACGATAAAGTGGGAGTCTGCAATGGTGTCCGTTTTCTCGCCGTCTTTGAAGAGCTCTATGTACGGGAGTTTCCCTTTGGGTGCGGATGTGGGTTGCACAGTGTGAAGCGTATAGTCGGTGAAACCTGTTGCGCGGAGGAAGGTTTCGAGCTTTTGGCAGTAGCCTGAAGGACTAGGTCTATTGACGGGTTGGGGGAAACCGTAAAAGCTGATTTTAGTGGACATTCTGGCAGTGACGTGAGTATGAAGAGACGGATGAATAGGGATTCATTGGCAAGATACCCTATATTTTATATGTAGGTGTCTTCACTGGGTTTCTTGAGTCGGGCAGTGCATAGCCTAAAGAGGAAAGTATGTACCACGATGTCGTATACAACTCAAAAGACCTCACGAGCAAGGATCAGTTGATCAACTGATTAATTTGTTGGCGCATCTACTGATCTGATTACCTAGGCGACCGCGAGAATTCCTCTGCTCAGCCTCGAGAACGAATGCTAAGCTGCTGGCACATCAATGGAGATCATCTCTCTACTTTCCCATTAATCTTTCTACGGGTTTTAATTAATCCAGGCTTTGCATGATTTTCGTTTTGGTTTTACACATACGGAGGCTGTACAGCTCTATTCAACCACAGATTAGTCTTAAAAGTACCGTTTAGTTACGCTAGACACGATTTTCTCCCATATTTGACGGGGCACCTATGCATTACTACCTCACGTATTAGATAAAGTTTAATTACTTAAATTTCCAGTATATATTGTCTAGATATAATAGAGATATACAGGCAAATAAGTCCCTTCAGAATAGTCTTGGAAAGCACTAATGAGATGTCCCAACCGAGTTCTCAGTTTTACAAGATCCCCATGATTTGCCAATTGAGGATTTCATTCTAGAATCTATCCAACCGAAACACTGGAGCGGGCGGAACATCATAAAGAAAAGCTTCACTGTTCTTGATCACAATTTCTCACTCGTTACAATGTAATTTCGCATTGACGAATATATATAGGAGCGAGAGAGAAGAAGAAAACATATAAGGAGAACAAGAAATGCTTATTTGTCTACATTAAACAAACCATCACCCTATATATACTTCAGACACTCCGGGCACTCACAGGGATAGATCTAGGCACGACTCATGATGCTGCCGGAACGTATGGACTAACTACAGCCAGCCATATCTCAGCGCGCGCATTTGATCGAGGCTCAGTTATAATAGATGCACACACTCAATAGAGGCATGGATCTTAGTTATCTTTGGGTATATCTTTGGATCGTTTCGCGATACCCTTAAAACCTCTAAAGTCTATATCTGTATAAGGTATATTGAGTTCCTCGTCATGGTTGTCAAACTATTGTTATCCTGATGTTAGGGATCTAGGTTTTTCGCCACGTATTAGGAAACTTACATTGGCCAGGAGTGGGCCGAGCAGTATTTTAGACACCTATCTTGATATTAGAAAGTTCAAGACTATCAAGAGGAGCTGGATTTTAACTTACAGCAGGCCATTTACTCCCGTCTGGATCACTCCATTTCTCCTGGTCAATGGTATGAAGCTTGTGATATTCTACATACGAAAACATCTATCAACACTAACACTGTGGGTCTTTCAATAGTCTTTTTTAACGAACCTGGTAAGACACAATCTACACGGTGTCCTATATTCTCATGGTCGTCTACGAATTGAAGGAATCTTTTCGCGCCTTCATCTGCCCCGAGACAGATAAATTGGAACGCGACCGCTATTTCAAACGTTTATTAGGTCAGACCTGGGTTTAAGAAATTGGGCGAGGAACAAACCTTCTTCTCCTCCTTTTTCAGGGCCAGACATTAACCGTAAAAGGCATCTCATGATTACCTTGGTTAGCAGACCTACTTCCTCGCCCTCGATCTATGAAATAAGGTATTAGCATTAAGGTCTTTCCTTAACAAGATAACCTGGGAACTTACAATTCCATCGGTGAAGGTCAACACAAGGAGCGGTTTGGTCATAGTCATGTCCCCGCCCGGCCGCGGTACAAACTCATCTAGGACTCTTCTTTGCAATTCTGTGCCTATCCTTGAAACCCCTGTGTATGGCGACGAATCTATTATACTCTTGACGTGATCCTTTTTGCAGACGTTTATCCCTCCCTCGTAGTGATTCATAAATCGGATCGAATTTACTCCTTTATCATTGGCAAGCTCGTATATCGCACAGATCTGTTCGATAAGTTTTTCAAGGTTTGGAAGGAGTTTAGGATCTGTTTTCATGGAGAAACTATCATCTAAATACCATTAAAAATTAGAAAAGAATACCCCAGTAGTTCAAGAAGTACTAGACTGTCATATACAAACCAATTAATATAACAATATCGTAGAGCGTAAGTATAATAAGATTCATTGCAATCTCGGTTCCTGGGCAGCCAAGCCCCACTAAATTAGTGAACATACTTACGGCCCTTTCCGCAGACGAGGTCAGTAGATCGTCTTTGATTATTCTGGCCAGCCCCTTCGATTCCTTCTTGATGTGATCCCTGAGCCGCTCTGAACACTCTTCACTTGTGGGGATTCTGGGTGGAGCGGCTGGGGGCATGTCATTAGGTGTATACTGGCTCATCTGTGTGTTGTTCTTGAAGAATCTTCTTGTTGGCTTCTTAGCTAATGGATGTAGACCGCGTTGTTGTACTTAATATCGGTCTTAGATTCTGTAGAACGGAGAAGAGGAAGTTGGGGGAGTTAGAGCCAATTTAATAAAGATTGAAAGTTGGCCTAGTGAGGCTCGGCCCTCAAAGCCTTTATGTACCTACACATCAGATGATTAAATTGGTTGGTTCTCGGGAATTCATTCGCTATTGGACGCCTTCTTTAAGCGGGTAAAAGACCGCATATCATAGTTAGCATGAGCCATATCGTTCCCCATTAGAAAACGCTTTAGATTCGATAGTTCCATTTGTTCGGCTGTGATAGACTGGTTCTGCATGGAGAGAAATCTAGTGCTACATATAGGTTCAATTCTACTCTAGAATCCTTGATACCTAAGGAGCAAGTAAACTACATTACTTAGTAGGTAATTGTAACCCAGACAGCACAAATCTTGGGTTTAAATACTGCTTGTCCGGTCTAGAAACATTTGGTTTATATGAGATATGGTGCGCACACTCTTAAAGGTGGCTGCAAGGTGAACTCCAAGGCCAATGAGAGGGCTTATTCCTAGCCACTTTGCTGTATTCCTGCTTTTGAGGGGGTATAAATGGGTATAATATGGTATAATACTGTTCCACTTTGCTCAGTCTTGGCGCTTTTTACATACAAAAATACACAATTTCAACCTCTGATAACTTTACAACCCAGACAGATATCAAGAATCTGCAATGATAGAACTAAACTTCATCACTAGTACTAGAGTTCTATCATTACGCCTTTTTTTTTTACCATTTTTCGTTGCAAAGTTATCAGCCATTGACATTTCGTCGCGATCCGCTACCTTTAAGAGTGGGCGCACCATACCTACATGTACTTATGTACGTATATGATAATAATACAATAAGCCATGTAAAGGCATACATACGTGTAGCTATGTAGTAGTAATACATTACATCATAATACCTAACTGAAATTGAGCGCGTGCACTGCGCGTGCACTGCGCGTGTTCAAGTTTCGTGGTTGATTCGAACCACGTGGTTGGGCAATTGAACCACGCATAGCAACATACATAAAAACTAATAAGTTCGATTGGCTATGCCTATATACATGTATCTATGTATGTACACAAAAAGTGGTACCATATTAAAGTCATTTTGATAGAAACTTTCTTCCGATTTCTCCCTCCATCATTATTATGAATGGTTGTAGTTAGAGTAATTTGGTACCATGGTTGATATTTATATGACGGCCAAATTAGGAATGACCAGAAGTATTACGAATTGTCCGGATCCACTATAATAACCCTCTCCAGAACTACAGCTTGCTCTGACCCTGCCCCACTTGGTTGCCTTTCTTGCTCGCCTGACCCCTGTGGCTGTCCTGCTGGCTCTACGGGCTTGGGGGGTGCATCAGGAAAATGTGCTTTTATTTTGTGTGGGTAATGTGTAGTGATTTACTACACCGTTAATGTGCTTTGCGCCTGCTAAATATTTAGGTAGGGAAATGAATCAGGTAATTGGGGAGGGGGGGGTTGTATGGGGAAATGAATCGGGAAAGTCGTCTGTAAAGTTGTCTGTAAAGTCGTAGTTAGGGAATAATGATCCCTTTTCCCTTGTAAAAAGGGATCGAAAAGGGATGCAAAAGGGGCTATAAAGGGACCGTAAAGGGACCGTAAACGGATATAACAAGGCATATTTTCGACAAAAATACAGCATTAAAAATCTAGTAGTGGGTATGATTTATAGCTATTATAACCTTGATGGGAGTCGAACCTAAGCCTCTAAATTGATATTAGACACATTGACTGGTACGCTATCTGTTCTGATAACAATTTATATTTTGAGCCTATTTTCAATCTACCTATCTGATGGGAAAAGGGATGTAAAGGGGATATAAAAGGAATAATAAAGGGATGGAAATGGGGACCCTAAAGAATGTTAATGAATCAGTTAAATACATCGTTTGTGACATTTACAGGAGGAGCCTTTAACTATAAGCACATTAGCAAGCACATTTCCCGCGATGATTTGTGTGGGTAATGTGCTTATTGATTCGTTTCCTAGGTGTTGTGGAGTGGTAGTAGATTTATTGAGTTATCTGTCTCCTTTGCTGAACTCTCTTTCTTTGGAGACTGTTCTGCAGCTGGTTTCCGGCTTTTCCAAACAACACATAGGGTAATAAGAAGAGTAACTATAGTTGTGCCTACCGTTATCCCCAATACAGAACCCCGTGGCAAGTAGAATTTATGTGGATTGTTTTTCTTCTCATCATCCCTAGCCATTCCATAGAACTATGCCCAATTTCTTCGTTAGCAACCATAATTGAACCAAAAACCCGGCCGCTTTGTGACTTACGGAAGTGAAAAATCCAAGCGGCAAAAATACAGTTGTCAGGAGTGTGAGCATCGACATAACCTGCCGCTGACTTTTTAATGCGCCGACTATAGGGTCTGTTATGGCTGCTGCCCTGGCCGCGGCGTCTGCTTCCTTGGTAGCCCCTATAGTGTCTGTGGCTGCTTTCCTGGTAGCGTCTATAGTGTCTGTGGCTGCTTTCCTGGTAGCGTCTATAGTGTCTTTGGCTGCTTCCTTGGTAGCCCCTATAGTGTCTGTGGCTGCTTTCCTGGTAGCGTCTATAGTGTCTGTGGCTGCTTTCCTGGTAGCGTCTATAGTGTCTGTGGCTGCTTTCCTGGTAGCATCTATAGTGTCTTTGGCTGCTTCCTTGGTAGCCCCTACAGTGTCTGTGGCTGCTTTCCTGGTAGCGTCTATAGTGTCTGTGGCTGCTTTCCTGGTAGCGTCTATAGTGTCTTTGGCTGCTTCCTTGGTAGCCCCTATAGTGTCTGTGGCTGCTTTCCTGGTAGCGCCTACAATGTTTGCAGCTGCTTCCTTGGTAGCGTCTACAGTGTCTGTGGCTGCTTTCCTGGTAGCGGCAGCTGCTTCCTTGGTAGCGTCTACAGTGTCTGTGGCTGCTTTCCTGGTAGCGGCAGCTGCTTCCTTGGTAGCGTCTACAGTGTTTGCAGCTGCTTCCTTGGTAGTGTCTTCGGCCAGCGCGTTTAATAGCTTTTTTCAACATCTTTTTCTTAGTAATTCTCGAACTTAAATTTAATTAATAAAAGGAAGGAACGAATACGTTTCTCTTTGATTTTCTTACAGTCTCAAGTAAATAGTCAATTCTTTCGGAGAATTCTACTAGTCCCTTAACAATCTCCTCGATTCTCTTAAGAGCAGGAATTATTTGCTCTCCCGTGAAGCCGAGTGATGAACTTATATTTCCTATATCTTGTTATAAATGAATTCTTTGCGTTTTCGGTGGTAATAAATATATATACCGTAGAATTTTTTGACATCTCCTAAAATGTCAATCTGTGATTGCACCACTCGCTTCGAGTTTTTGATATCCCTCTCAAGTCCCCGGGTATCTCTAGTCAAGGCTTTTTCTTCCTCTTTGTCCCTATCCCCCAATTCTAGCTTCATAATACACTCATCGATTTTGGACTCCTATTCAGTCATTAATACCAAAGTCCGCTTTTTTATGTTTGTCGGCCAGGAAACAAATATTTTCATGGACCTCTCGTTTGAGAAATATAAGGCATCTCTTTTGTGAAAGGTCCAGGATATTCGAGATGATATGAACCAACACTCGGAACATGCATACTCTTTCCTGACATCCATAGAGGGGATGCGGTAGATCAGAATGGTTGTCCTCTTTAGACCTAAACATCGCTATCATATCTAATATTGACATATGCAAAAGTTAGCCCATTCCTTTTCATCATGTTTACGAAGGGGTGTCAATTCAAACCGTTAAAGAATATCATGAGCCAAGCTCTATGCACCCAAATCTCATTTTCGCTATGGTACGTGCTTTGGATTGCCCCTTTAGAACTATACTCGGATAAGCTCAGGCTTTCAGGCTCACGAGCTGCTCTATCCCCAGATGAGGGATCCCTAGGTGAGGGATCCCTAGCCTTTCTTATCCCAAAATAGGGCATTACAAGAAAAAACACCAATATTGGATTTAATTTTGTAGATTCGTCCACACCTCCAACATCAGGTAGAGATATACCAACATCTAGTGTCTTACGGATATCAATATCCTTCGACGGAATCAGTCTCTTGATATGATCTTTTATGGTTGTGTCCCAACCATTTTTGTCTGCCATTGCATCTACAAACTCCTAGAATTTTCAAATGAGATCTCGCCGAAAAGCTCGGAGCTGGGACACATACCTCACAATCTCCGTTAGAGCACTGTCGAGAGTCTCTAATTTATCATTTAGCGTGTACGATAGAATTAAGAATTAGACGAATATACTAACATAATCCGCAGTGAAGATGAATCGACTTCAGGCTCATGATCAGGCTCATTTGGTTGCGCTGATGCATTCGAAAGTTGCCCACCTGTGGGTTGTCCGATTGAAGATTGTGCGGCTGAAGATGCATTGATTGTGTCACCCAGGTTTAACGGTATCTTGAGCCAAAGCTTTTCATATAGTTTGCCTGTGGATTCTATATGCTTCTTCGATTTATCTTTTTCGTATTGTCTCATTGTTACTGATGCATTTTCTGATCTATACACCCTTTTCGGCGAAAGATCGTAGTGGTAAGATAGTGCTGTCCGCGAACTCACGTCCTCGAACGCATTAAGGATCGTGATTTGGCGATTATTTTGAAGAGGGAAGTATCCTTGGTCTATAAGTCCCATGTCTGCTGCTGGGCCTACTATATGAAGTTGAAGTAAAATTAGTTTTGAGGCGAGGTATATTCTTGATAAAGTTTTCGATATATCTTTGCTGTGTTTTCGTGTGTGCTTATATAAAGTGTGGGCTCTGTGCACTTACATTTATATCGCTCAAGGCTGGTATTTATACTCAGTGACAGGATTTTCGCTTTTTGTGTCACACGTCTCATTTCGTACTAGGGCCGCTAGCTCTGCATATATGAAATATATGCCCCACATAGGCATAAGTTCATCTGATCAATCTATGTAGCTTGCGGTTTGTGCGAACCATATGACGGAATTAAGTAGTTACTTTAGAGAACCTCCGATAAAGCGAACTACAGCCCAACAGGTTCCAAAGTGAGACTCACCGATGTATCAGTTGCATTGTTCGAATAAGGAATAGATAGGTATGCCTTACAGCTAAAGTCATCATAATCTAAGACAAAAGTAAAAGGGGTTGGCTACTCACTCAGCCAAAATGCCTTGCCCTGCCAACAAACGCCATCCAACCGCAGAGCTGACGCAGTTGCAAGGCTTGTTCTCGCGATACTTATGTAGGACTTCGGCCTTTCCCCTGTCTGTGCTGAGAAATTAATTGGTAAAATAATTGTATTGTAGGTAAATGCTGCGTTCTTGCACTAGAAATGTGTCCCATGAACGGCATGAAATCGACACCTAGCGGATACAGTAGGCAGAGAAGATTCAGCTAGTCCTCTTCTCCGATGTTTATAACTCGTCATGCCGTAATAATCTTGAATCGAGAGCTTCCACTATAAGAGCGGTGGTTTAAGGTGGTTGTTCAAGGTGATCATGATAGAATCAATTGCAACTAACCAAAATCTGTTATCAACGTTGTTATCTATGTGTTTACTTCTCGAATTGCTACTACTCGCGAATCGTTTCAGGGATACCTACATGTACTTTACATACATGTACCTACTGCATTGCACATCTTCGAGCTTCTACTCGGGGCAGGCAATAAGAACCTGAAAATGCAAGCTGCAAGCAGGGACTCAATTTGGTGTAGCTTTTCGCCAGCCGCGAATCAGAGGTCGTTACCATCAAAAGTCATTTTCAGGTTCTTCTTACTCGGGGCAGGTAAAAAGTACCGGACAATGCAGGTTTTTGGTTCACCAATGGGTGTGCGTGCTAGGCGTGAGCTACTGCAAAAAACCCCAGAGACAAAACTTGCATTGTCCGGTACTTTTTACCTGCCCCGAGTACCTGCCCCGAGTACCAAGATAGCCGCGTATTTCCCAACTGTCCGTCCTGACGCGGTATCTAACTGGAGCAGGTATATATGTGCCTAGAGTACTCTACATAATTCTGCGACGCTTTTCTTTCTCCCCTTCCCCCTCCCCCGCGCATTCAGCCGGCTTCCAAGGCACATACAGTAGAGTACAGACACTTTGGCGGATGAACCTGCCTGATGGTGGTCTGTGTTTTGAGACCAATAGCAGATCTAGAGCTCACTTTGGCGATCAGGATCCGCCATCGCTCCACGAACATAATTATGCCTATCAACCGAGGCATGCAAGTATCCGGCATTAGCACCGTGCGATATGAAGTTATCCGGAGTGCCGAAACCCCAGTTGACTCTAGACAATATTTTTATCCTTGTTGATAGCAACCTACAGTACGTCCAGCCAGAACCCTTCCACAACTTTAAAGATAACTACTACTTAGCACATATACTGAAGCCTCATAACGGTTGGTGTAAAGCCTTCACAAGATTTGCTCTTAGCTTGATGACCACCTATATATGCGGGCGATCATGATCATACATCGGAGCTGTATCTTTTTGTGGTTGATACCCTCCATAGGAAATCGGCTTGTTTTGATGTGTCACATCGATTAAACGGGCTAGTTTTGCCCTTTATTGTGAGAATTGCGGCCTAGAGACTCCGACACATAGAACCGAACTTAAGAACAAATGGGTTTTGAGAATTCATCGCTAATTATATAATTACTACATTGTTATGTATTGACAATTGAACCACTGGATCAAATCGAATTGCAAGTCGATAGGAAATTGAGTAATTAAGGAGATCTACATTCCATAAATATCTCCAGCTTTCACTGGAGATTTGGTGAGGGACCATTTTATTGGTATGATATGATCCCCCCACCAAAAAGAAGCTCCTTTCCTTCATTTACGACCCCGGATGCTTAATGCATCTAAGCCTCGTCCAAGTCGTTTCTTGATCTATCAATGAACCTCAAAATAGGTCAGAGGTGCTGTCGCCAAATGGTGTTTCATGGTAGAAGAGGTTATTCGACCGGTGACATAGCCCACGAATCATCGACGAGACGCGTGTGATAGATGGTCGTTCGTACGGTGAAGCCAGATTACGCATTGCCTTTACAATTTGTGGTCGTGAAAGTTTGAACCTTGCTACATGGTTTGTGTGTATTTATGCCTTAGCTCAAGCTTATGTAAAACACAAATTTGATCATTGACCGTATATACTTTACATGTACATTGGTTATACAATGTACATCTTCTAACCCACAAACCTCACACTGGGCCATATCTTACTGCAAATGTTTGCTGTGGCTACATGCTACATGTACCCAGTCAAAACCGTTTCGTTAAACGCCGGCCATGACCGTTTCAATATTCAGGATTGTGAATAACCATATCTTGCGTCACACGATCATCATCTACGTACGTCAGTCTCTCCTAGTAATGGGCACGAGACTTGAGGTCTCGAGAGCAGGTCTCGAGCTTTCCAAACGAGATAAGACAAGATCAATGAAAATAGTCTCACGATTATCTCGAGACTATTGTGGGCTGGTCTCGAGACGTCTCGCGAGATCATTTTGGACCCTTTGAGAAGGTTTTGGAGGGATTCTACTTTTTCGAGGGAGATAATTCTTCCACGAGATGATAATTAGCACAAACAGTTGCAGAAATATCATTAGCTTTCCTATATTTCGCCTTTTTCCCAAAGTCTCGAGACCTCTCGAGACTTTGCGAAAGGTCCCGAGACAAGACGAAACCTACTACCCCTAAACACAAGACGAGACGATACCACCCTAAATGTGGCCTCGTCTTGTCTCGTGCCCATCACTAGTCTCTCGAGAGATTAATATAATAGGGCGATAATCAATTAGTTAATGTCTACCATATGTGGAAATCTAGTTTATCTAATATACGTATGTATGTACGTACTTTTCATAAATTCCAACATTATCAGTATTGTTTTGGGTAATAGACATTGAGCATGATAAAGGTAGCAACCTGGGGTGAAGAAACCTAGCTCCGAGGACTACCTCCAAATGATATATGCTTTGCAATTTGACTCATTTTGTTTCCCTTGTTAGATGCTACGGTAAGCCAGATGGAACTTCGCAATTGCGGTGGCCTGGTTCACTGCACCTCTATAGTACCCCCATCCAGTAAGATAAATTGCCAGTGAAGCACTACCTAGCTATAGTGGGAAATACTCTTACACACTTTTATATGATATGCTGAGCAAGACTCACTCGTTGCCATAAATCTGCACCTCCTGATAGTATCATTGGCAGTCCTAATCAAAACATGGGTAAGATGTGCGTTTAAAAAGGAGTGGAGAACTTTAGTCATTAAACTCAACGTAAACTCAATTATGCGTGTCCTATCTAGTAGCTAATTTACAAACATTGTACTAGTACATACTCATAAACAAATCAAATAACCCTCGCCAACTCAACTACTTCACTTACCATTAAGCCTCCTCAGTCGACGGTGCATAACAAAGGAAAATGACAACGCAAAATGCGACAAAACATAAACATCATTAATCAATAACAGTAGCTTGATTTTTTTTTCTTTTTTTCTTTTTCGTAAGTTTGCGAAACCATTGCTTCAAAACAGTAGTAAAAAATCAACATCGTTCTCTCTCAGTATCGTTCGTTATACCTTCTCGCAGACATATGAAATCAAAGGCCAACATAAAACATAGAATATAAGAAAGGGAAATCAATAAAACTGATATTCATGAATTTCATTAAAGAATTTGACCACCACCGACCAAAGGAAACCCAGTTATCCCGCAATCCCAAAGAGTGAAACCAACTCTTGAATCAAAGCCGGAAATCGAATAAATCAAATCTTCTCCTAATACTCCGTTTACAACCCAATTGCCTCATAGTCATTTGGCAAACTCATATTCCAGGACCCTGCGGTTCCCGCATCAACAGCTTCCAAAGAAAGTGTCCTGCGAGTTGTTGAGTAATTCAGGTTTTATGTAATCTTGAAAGCCCAGGATATCAGGGTCCCTTTCCAATGCTGTTAAGTCTAAAACCCCTTCATGTGTAAACATTGAATACTCTGGCTGGGCTAATAACTCGTCGGTGTAGGAATTTTGAGGCTTTCTCGCCATAGATGAGTTTTCAATAGAATGAGCTGGCATATCGTAACTACCATCTAGCGCGTTGAATGCCAAAGAGCCTCTGCCCGATGATGAGGTGAAGTCTTCAAAATCGTATCCCCCGTGTGGTGAGGGGGGAATGCTGAAGTCATGAGAAGCACTAGGGGAACTCTCTCTCAACGAGGGTGTCCCTTCAATGACGTATTGTGGAGTTTGCGGTCCTGGGCTGTGACCGGCAGGGCTGCTGAAATCTGGAATATCACGAGGTGATGGGGGGTTGGAAGCGTCAGATGCAAAATAAGCCTCTTCCTCTGAACCTTCAGTATTTTCTTCCGGTTTCACAGTACGGTCCTCCTCTTCCTTGAGCGGCTTCTTGCGAGGCCTTCCCCTCTTGACTACCTTCCTAATGACCCCCTCAAATGCTCCACTGCACATCCCACGCTGCCGGTGCCTAGTCAAAGCATCATGCCTAGCAAATGCATTTCCACAATCACAGGGATACGGCTTGACACCCGTATGGATTTTTGAATGTCTTTTCAGGTCATGGTGTCGAACGAAACACTTCTTACAGGTTTCGCATAGGAACTGACGATCTCCAAGATGGGTTTGAACATGGGACTTGATATTCTCCTTTCTCCCAAATCTCTTCTCGCAATCAGGGTAAAGGCATAACCATTTTCCATCAGTAGCTTCTGGTCCGGAGATGTAGCTATTTATTAAATCAATTGTAATCTCCGTGGCTTTTTCACTTGGAGTAGAAGACGATTCCCTCACTGGAGCGGGGGGTGGTGTTTCTAAAGTTGTGCGTGGAGCTGGTGCCAGAGCCGGAAGATCCACTTGTTGGAACCTCTTTGCTAGAGCTGGGCCTTTCTGAACAACTATACTCAAAGGGCTCCGGAAGGTTTTTTCAAAATGGACTGGGGGTGACGATGGGATAGAGTCGAAGGCCGGAGACAGGGGTGAATACGGAGGTGCGCCTTCAAAGTCGGCCTCCGATCCCATATTACTGATTGCAGACATGCTAGCAAACTTGATGTGTGGCAGAGGCGCCATATCGAAGGTATTGTGGCCTAGTCGAGCGGTGTGTGGTGGGGTAGGCAAATCGTGAACTTGAGAATTCTCAAACTGGAAATTAGCTCTTAGTGGGGAGTGATTCGACACAACTGAGACTCTTCTGGACATGGCGGGCGAGTCAATTCCGGAGAGGAATTGATCGATGTCATGTGGGATTGAAGCATTGTTCTGTTGGTAGCAGGTGAATGGGCTTTGCGGGGTGACTGGGTTGAAAGCTAATAGACCCGTGTAAGCGGGTGATAATCCATGACCAACCCGCAGTGGTTGACTTACTAAGAATGCCTTGGCATGTGGGCGTTCTAGGCCTTTGATCATTCATGATGCCCCAATATTCCATATCAATACTGCCATCTGCTGTCGTTGGATGGTTGTGGTTTTGTTCGTCACCGTTTACTTTAATGCCGAGTCCGTTCATGGTTCTAACCGCAGATATACTGGCGTTGCTGTTTATGGGGGTCTGAGCCGTAGCCGAGCCGAGAGTCAGTGCGTCCGCAACAGAGTTATGCCGTCTGTGTTGATAACCTCCTCCTTGACGCTTCGAAGGAGAGGGATAGGGTGCTGGACGGTTTGTCTGCTGTCGTTGCTTATGTTGTTTGGCAGCCTGTTTCCCATCCATAGCCCGGTTGCCTTGGGGCGTATGCATATGGAAAGTGAGCTCCTGTGCTGTCATTGACATTGATATCAATTGTCGATCCTATCTCTAGCAACTACCTATCGCCCTGTGGTCAGACGTTAGCAACTGTAATTTAATACAGGGAGTAGTAATCTGGGGTATATTAAAATACCTGACGATAGTATTGCAGAGTGGAACTTTCAGATGTGAAAAAAACAAGACAAACAGCGGGCTATATAGATGTTATATGGATCGAAAGCTGCAATAATTGACCCCGTAAAACAAAATAAGGGGATGGCCCCGGGTAAACAATTGAACTTTTTGAAAACTTCAAAAACGTGAAATCGTGAAGTAGATCGTAATATCGTCTGGAGAAATTATCCAATGGACTAGTTACTCGAGAAGCTCTCTCGGGAGCTGCTGCGGTTTGACAGTGACGATAGAATGACTGATATTGTTTTGACTGAGTATATCGGACAGGGAGGGACGCGGTGAGGGGGGTAATTATGAGCGAAATGACTCGCAGCGTGAAGATAGGAGTGGACTACGGAGTCCAAGCGAGGGATAGAGGGAGGAAAGGAAGAAACAAGCTGCAGGAGGGGGCGAGCAGGAGGGTCTAAGAGGGAAACGGATGCCTTGTTTACATAGATGCTTGGCTGTTGCTATAACAACCCACGCCTCGAGCGATCTCCGTGACGCACCAACACGTGAGTTGGCGTTGCTACCGGCAACGATCTTGATCGGCGCGTAGCAAACAACCCCAGCTGTTTCCGGCTTGCAGACGCGACTTGACCCGCCGAGTTTGTGCTGTGCCTCTGTTAGTAAACTCCAGATGTCAATATTACTGGTGGCCCCAAATCGTGTAATGAGTCCAATCTATCCAGTAAGATAATACACGGATTATTTTTTGCCCTTTAAGCCGAAGTTGTTGTTGAAACTCTCTGCGAAGAAGCTGAAATCATAACATGACCTACATAATGTACTCACGGGACAGAATTTCAAGTATGTACTCGTATCTAGGGCGTTTTAATGAGGATTATCAGCTGGTAAATATGGCGCTCCGTAACACGCGAATATAAGTTGTTTACATCCACATACATGTATGTAGGTACATATAATACATACATGTACATACATGATGAACAGTACTGTACATGTACATGTAGTCAAGATGGCCGATGGTAGCAGCGTAGCCCCGCTATGGAGGACGAGATCTAAAGCCTGCATGAGCTCATCTCTTTTAACGGCTTCTGTATTGAAAAAGCGAGGAATACAGCCACGACAAAACATCAGGCCCGTGATGAAATTACGATCAACATAACATTTGCATAATCAACTCCGTAAAATGAAAATAAGTGACAACTGAAAATTGAACTTCGATATCTATGACAAGCTTTTGTATGTCACTCCGTATACATATATCATGTGCACATCCATGTATAAAGAACATATATGCGAACTATCGCGCTGGCTTTTTAACGGGTCAAAAAAACGAATTTCTGCTAATTAAAAACCGTGCCTTTCATGACGTGATATTAAGGGCTATTGATATTCGGCATGTGATGATATATTATGGTAAACAAAAGGACTCCCGCAAGTCCGAATTCACCAAATCACAAATTATTATTCAAGGTTTTGTTATTGTTCTATTTTTAGTTGAAACCTCGTGGGTTTGATGAGTGATATATCGATCTCATAACAAACCTCTCCGAGAAATTGTTTATCCATGCCAGTAAACGGCTATCCGGGCATTGAAATCAATTATGAGATTCCCCTTGCTCCATAGAGCCGGGGAATATTCATCCTGGCTTCTCGATATATCACGACTCCCACATCCAATCAGAATGCCACGTTTTAACCCCTCCAGCCACAGCTAATCCAAGCCAGCATTGAGTTGATTTTGATCAGCCACAGTGTGGCGTGTGACTGTCCTAGGGCACCCACACAACCCACTAAAGTCAACCCCACAAATACACCCATCCACCAAAAGTTTCGCAGGGTTTTTTTCCACTTTAACAAACCATTACCAACATCGAAGAGGCATTCTTGCTGAGCTGCTGGTTTCCATCCGACAAACATGCAAATCTTCGTAAAGACCCTTACGGGCAAGACCATCACCCTCGAGGTTGAGTCTTCCGACTCAATCGAGAATGTTAAGTCCAAGATCCGTACGTTTTTCTTTTTGAGGGTTTTTATCACGATTATCAATCAGCCGCTGACTGTGTGTGTGCATCAACAGAGGACAAGGAGGGAATTCCCCCAGACCAACAGCGCTTGATCTTCGCCGGCAAGCAGCTTGAAGATGGCCGCTCCCTCGCGGACTACAACATCCAGAAGGAGTCCACTCTCCACCTTGTGCTCCGCCTCCGTGGTGGTGCCAAGAAGAGAAAGAAGAAGGTCTACACCACCCCCAAGAAGATCAAGCACAAGCGCAAGAAGTAAGCCTCCGGTTCCGATTGTAAAGAGATAGAGATGATACTAAATGGATTCGTAGGACCAAACTTGCTGTGCTTAAATTCTACAAGGTTGACAGCGAGGGTAAGATCGAGCGTCTCCGCCGCGAGTGTCCTCAGGAAGGAGTCAGTATTCCCATAATCACATTCAGATATCATAAATCTAACCGTTTGTTCAATTCTAGTGTGGTGCTGGTGTCTTCATGGCCGCTATGCACAACCGCCAGTACTGCGGAAAGTGCCACTTGACCTACGTCTTCGACGAGACTGCTTAGAGGATAGCAAGGGTTTTCGGTGTTAGGGAAGGAAACGGGTAAACTGACTCTTGTACTTTTTTTAATATCAAAAGCAGGCTAGAATCTAAAGTTTTTTTCTGGGAATCTTGTGCTTCTATGATGTGACGCGATCGTAATGTGCTTCTCCTATCATCACACCGCGTTCTTGCTTCTAGAATAGATGACTCTTGTCACTCTTTATCGATCTAGAGGCGTGATCAGTACCACATATGATCGACCATTAAAGGCACAAATATGACGCTACCAGAGATCTCGCAAGAAAGTGCTCCAAGAGCTATGATCCTGACCCAAACACCGGACCAGACTTTCAATTTGACTCAAAGATTCGGGGGTCACAAGGAATGAGAGCTTCGTCTTCAAAATCAAAAATTCCATTTATTTTCTCGGAAACTATAGCTTCATACGTACATACATGTACCGGTATGTACCTATATGTCAATGTGATTCTACCATACGGCCTTAAGCGGTAGCTTATCTTGTGCCTAGACTGTACCCACTTTAGTATCGCAATTAATAAACAAAAAAAGAGAATAAGACTACCTATATACATGTAAGTACTTTAAAGACCCTAATTGCCAAGCGAACTGTCAAATTGGCTTTCTAGCTCCTGAAAATGAACATGACTCATCACTCGCACATAAGTACCCAGCATAAAATCACCTAGCCCTAGATTTAACCCTCTCCGTTGTTGTATATTAAAATCTTACTGGAGCAAAAAACAGGAGTTAAAAACTACATGATGTTCTTACATTCTTAGCCATTTTAGGCATTGCCAAATTTAGGACCCGTTTCGAGTCGTCATAATTTCATTATAAAAACCAAAAAATAGATACATAACTAGACAGATCCTATAAATCTAGGCTCTAAACCTTAAGTCCACGTATGTATATCCCAGCATCTACTAGCATAAAGAATGGGACGATCCCACCAGCACCAGACGTTATAAGAAAGCCCGAGGCTCGGAATTCGAACCTCCAACCCCCCGCCGACAATTATAACGTTTTCTCAGCCTTAAGAGATGTAGGTACACACCTTGTCCTCACATTTTCATCAACTATCAAACTCCATGCTCATTCCAATAGATCTTGCGATAACTGAATGGGCCGTACGCGTGCAGCTAGTGAAACCAATACCATGGGAGGTGACATAACTCTCAACCCACAACAAACTGAGACATCCTTATCCCCACCCCGCCGCGACCTCTCCCCAAACCGGGCGCGCTCCACCATGAGGGAGATTTTGCAATTCAGGAATGCGGGTCAAATAAATTAATTCAATTTTTCCAGGGAATCGCATAAGGGCAGGGGAGGGTGGAGATTGGATACTTAAACGTCGTTGATATCTCATTGGCACGTTTTTTCGCTTTGGTTGTTTTTAGGAATAGAAATATGTCTCTGTGCTGTTCCCGGGGTGATTCTCCGACTTAGCCAATGTCTGGGATCATGAACGTCGAGAGTTGAGGGCAAAGGTAAGATACTAGTCAGCTCGCATCACAACACCCCAATCTTTAAAACGCATGTCATTGATCAATCTGATATCGTTCAGCACTTTCCGAGGTAAACAAACGACCCAAAGGGCGGTTATGTGCCAATAGGAAGTGTCTATGTTTAGAAATTCTTCATGCCCGCCGGAGCTTAACCTTATCCCAGAAGAGCGGCAAACGTTTCAAGCCTCCCGTGCCTTGATTCGTTACCACCATTCTGCGCTAGCCCATTATCAGTTACACTACTGCGAACACCCCCAACACAACAACCTTGTGATCTTCAGGTACAAAGCGCTTGATTTCTGCTTCGCTGGGTAGTTCCTTCCTTCGAGGCTTAAATAAAGAAACCCGTTTCTTTGCTATTTGGTGACAATCGCGCAATGATTGGCAATCGGGTCGGTTCCCGGCTATTTTTGCATGGGAGCTTCTGCTTGCAGAGGTTTTAGAGTTCGATACCAAGATTTTTGGGGTCTCAAATCATAGACAACGGACGACCTGGATCTGGTATATAAAAGACACCTGTGTTGTCATACATGTATCCAACACCAAGCGAAGAAAGAAGCAAAGACAAGTGTGGGCGAAAGGGGCTGTTATATGTATCAATGCTTTTCCCTCCGAGGCCCGCCAGACTTCTCCCCTCAGTTGCTTCGTCGTTCAGTAATTCATTGGAACTTAACTGCTGCTGCCTATAGGGTCCGGATCCTATTTTCCTTATTTTTACTTTTTCTGCTGCATTCTCCTTTCCTTTTAAGCAGGCTTCTCAGTTTTGGAAGACCTGTTCTCTCAATATATCATGAAGCTCCATCCTACAGTCCCCCTCCTTTCACTCTT